TTCGAACTATACTACAAGGCTACAGTACCCAAAACAACATGGTACTGGTACCAAAACAGAGATATAGACCAATGGAACAGAACAGAGGCCTCAGAAATAATGCCACACATCTACAACCATCTGATCCTTGACAAACCTGACAAAAACAAGAAATGGGGAAAGGATTTCCTATTTAATAAATGGTGCTGGGAAAACTGGCTAGCCATATGTAGAAAGCTGAAACTGGATCCCTTCCTTACCCCTTATACAAAAACTAATTCAAGATGGATTAAAGACTTAAATGTTAGACCTAAAACCATAAAAACCCTAGAAGGAAACCTAGGCAATAACATTCAGGATATAGGCATGGGCAAGGACTTCATGACTAAAACACCAAAAGCAATGGCAACAAAAGCCAAAATAGACAAATGGGATTTAATTAAACTAGACTACCATCAGAGTGAACAGGCAACCTACAGAATGGGAGAAAATTTTTGCAATCTACTCATCTGACAAAGGGCTAATATCCAGAATCTACAAAGAACTCTAACAAATTTGCAAGAAAAAACCAAACAACCTCATGAAAAAGTGGGCAAAAGATATGAATAGACACTTCGCAGAAGAAGACATCTATGCAGCCAACAGACACATGAAAAAAAAGCTCATCATCACTGGTCATCAGAGACATGCAAATCAAAACCACCATGAGATACCATCTCACGCCAGTTAGAATGGCAATCATTAAAAAGTCAGGAAACAACAGATGCTGGAGAGGATGTGGAGAAATAGAAACACTTTTACGCTGTTGGTGGGAGTGTAAATTGGTTCAACCATTGTGGAAGACAGTGTGGCAATTCCTCAAGGATCTAGAACTAGAATTACCATTTGACCCAGAAATCCCATTACTGGGTATATACTTCCCCACCTCCAGAAACAGATGCCATACAAATGGAGTAGGGTGCTTTGTGTTGAGCACCTGACACTGGCGTGTGGTGATGAAAGTCCTCTGTAGCTACCACCACTGGGACTGTACTGGGCCTGACCTGAGGCCATCACAGCAGTGGGCCTTGCCCAGGGTCATTCCCTTCAAGGCAGGGAGTTCCCCCAGGTCCTGGGTGTGCCCAGAGATGCAGTCTGGGAGCCAGGGATTAGAGTAAAAAAACCTTCGCAATTTACCTTTTGTTCTGTTCGACTGCAGCTAAGCTGGCACTCCAACTACAATACAGTTTTCCCACTCTTCCCTCCCCTTTGCACAGGTATAGGAATCTCCCCCTGTGGCCACCATCACTACTGGTCCATGGGGAGTTCTACCAGGCCATCACCAATGTTCACTTAAAGCCCAAGAGCTCTTTCATCAGCTTGTAGTGAATACTGCCAGGCCTGGGGCTCACCCTGCAGGGCAGTGGGTTCCCCTATGGCCCAGGGCAGGTCCAGAAATGCTGTCTAAGAGCTGAGACCTGGACTCGAGGACCCCAACAGCCTGCTTGTTGCTCTTCTTGTTTCAAATGGAAGGAGTCCTTCACCATAGGTGGGAGAATGCTGGGTCATCCCTGAAGTCAGCACGTCTCAGAGCCCAAGGCCTATGGCTTACTCCCTGCATCTCGCTGGGTGTTATTCAGTGCCCAAGGGCTCTTTAGTCAGCAGGTGATAGGTCCTGCCAGGACTGGGTCCTTTCCTTCGAGGCAATGGGCTCCCTTCTGGCCTAGTGTGTATCTAGAAATGTCGTCCAGGAGCTAGGGCCTGGAAAGGAGCTTTACAACTCCACCCAGTGCACTATTCTACTGTGATTCAGCTGGTATCAAAGATGCAAGATAATGTCCCCTTGACTGTGTTAATCCATTTTTACACTGCTATAAAGGACTACCTTTGTTCACTCTCCTCTCCTTAAGCAGAAGTAAGGGGACATTTTAATTGCTGTGAGCTGTACTACCAGGGGTTGGAGGAGGGATGGCACATGGACTCCATTAGTCATGTCAGCTGCTGTCTCCCTAGGTCACGTGCCACCTGAGTTCACTGGCTGTAAGCCCAGCCCAGCACTAGGAGTTCCCTAGAAACTGCAGTCCTTGTGTCCTAGACCGCCTTACAAGTTTACATAGGACTCTAGAGCGCTTTTGCCCACAGTGGCGAGGCTTGAGAAGCTCAAGTTTCAGCTGATGGGAAGGGCGATTCTCCTGGCTTGGGCTGGTCAAAATGCACCCCACACCTGTGTGTGGGCACTGGCTGCACCCTGCATGGATTTGTTTTCAGCTGCGATAGGGCAGCGTTGAGTTCAAGGTAAGTCTCCCACTTGCTGCACTCTCCCTCCCCAAAGTGCACAGACTCTCCATGCTGGTGAATGGAGGAGGGGTAGCATTGGCGGTTCCAGACTACCTCTCTTGCCCTGTGCAATGCCTCTTTCAGTGATATTAAGTTAAAACCAGGTGATGTGATTGCTCACCTAATTCTTGGTTCTTGTGGCAGTGTTTTTTGTGTGCAGATAGTTGTTAAAATCTGATGTTCCAGTGAAGGGAGATGGGATAAGTAGCGTAGGTTTCTATTGTGCCATCTTCCTCTATGCCCTGCCAAGGTGACTTTTCTTTCACCCAGTCAATGTGAATGTGTAGGAAACTTTCTTGTAACCATTAGAGTTACAACTTAGGTTCCACATGGTATTATAATCAAATCGACCTCATCTGTTATGATAAGATGGCCCACAACACTGTGGATGCTACCATGTGTTGGGCAAGGGTTTTATTCCTCTGATTAAAGCAACAGTGGGTGATGGAAGTAGAAAAAAGTGGTGAATTGATTTGATTCTTCTCAGTTTGTCCAACTAGATATATGCTTCTCTGCAGGGCTGTGTGTTCCAGAAGTCTGATACCATGGACCGCATCACCTTGGCTTCCTGGCTGTCTGGTTAGTGATTTGAGCAATGAGAGGCAGCAGCTAGAAATGAAAGAGTAGTAGAGTGTCTCCTGACACTGTGTGCATGGTCTCCACTCAGCCTCAGATTCCTGTAAGTCAGCTGCATCCAGATTTCCACCGGCTTCCCCGTCCCGAGAAGGTTACATTTGGCCGCCACTAAGATCTGAGAAAAACCTCTTCAGAGGAATTTTGGCCAAATCTTCTCTCCCTCTTCTACAGCCACTTTCCTTCTGAATTTCTTACTTGTGAGTTTCACTTCTGGAAACAAAAGTCAAGTTCTCTAGGTGAACACTGAGTAGCCCCAATCTTCCAGTAAATTTGAAGTGTAGGAAGTTTTCCTCGTTTAAACTCAGAACACCATCCAATCCCTGGGGAGCGTGCCTCTCTGGTCTCCAACCCACCCAGAATTCCAGTGTGAATAGCCATCCACAGGTGGGTGAGTGGTCAGAGTTCACATGATTGTTTGTGATTGCCTTCTTTACCAGGACTCCATTGTGAGGCAACTCTTTGCAAGATGGGAAATAGTTGGTACCAGTTGTTTTGGGGGCATTAGCCAAGTCAGAAACTGGACAGAGTTCCACTTGAATGTGCTGCTGCTCTAGTCTGGGTAACTTTACTGTCTATGTATATATCCAAGTACTGCTTGGCACAGTTGAGTTTCTCTTTGGGATAATTCTGTGCTACTTGTTTTCTCACTCAGTATGATGGTGAAATTTATTCACTTGTAACTCTGTATCCCAAATTCTGTCTCTTCTGTTATGTGGCCATGGAGTGTAGGAGGTTGGCTGCTGTCAGCCTCTGCTCCTGTGGGTTTGGCTCCTTCTTGCCCTGCCTGCTATTCTTTCAGCCTCCATTCCCCACCTCTTCTCCACCTCACAGCCACTGTATGATGCTGGACTGCAGGTAAATAGTCACCAACATAGCAGTGTCCAGGCAGCATTCCTCCCAACGGTGCACCCAGGAGGCCCTTCTACCTGGCAGCCTCTAACCTCTCCTCTCCATCCTACAGCCAGCTGCATCCTCTGAGGAGAGGCTGGTGGCTCCTTTTTGGCAATGCTGCATCAGTGCAGGGACAGAGAAAGTGACAGAGACAAAGAGGATGGTGAAAAGGACATAGAGCAGTTTAATTTTCTACCATATAAAAAATCTGGAAGAGACCTGGCTAAGGGGAGAGAGAGTAACAGCCCCTTAGATGTGGTGGGGGAGGGGACACAGGAAGGGGCTCTGGGGAATGCTGGACAGATTGTGAGAACACAGGGAATTGGGGAGGAGAGAAAGAGGGGACAGAGGACTGCTTGCAGGCTTATTTTGCATCTCACGTGAAAGGACTAGAGAAATGCCTGGAATTTGTGATGGCTTTAATGGTTCACCTTATGTAAATTTCATCTTACTCCTCACTTAGTCTTGCCCATGTTCACCATGGCTCTGACCTCTTTGCTCTCCCTGTCCCCTCTTCAGCTTTAACTCTCACTTGTCAGTGACCAATTGCCCACATAGTTCCCATTTCAGGTTTCTCAGAATGAGTATATGACTTGCTCAGCACATTGCTTGGGGACAGAGCTTCTTCAACGGGAGTCATCTCATGTGTGTTGTTGTCCTATCAGGTGGCTTCACTTCAGTCAAATGAATTCTATTTGGCTGTAGCCTGAGAAGGTTTGTTTGACATGCCACAAAAAAAGCGACCAGAGCATTCTATACTTTCCTGGGGACAAAGAGCAGAGCGGTTGCCTCTGGAAGGCTCTGTGGATATGATATTGGCAGTGTTAAAATATATCCCAAAGCCCCAGCCCAACTCTTGGTCTGCTCTTAAACAATGTCTTTTCACTAGGGCAAGCATTGGGTTTTAGAGGGGAACACCAGGGCTGTCTCTCCAAAATGGCTAGGGATTAGAGTCTTTGGTCCTTGAATGCCAAGTACTACATCACTTCGACTTCGCAGTGTTTTTCAGATTGATGATGGGGGAGATCTGGTGTGCAGCATGATCTCACCCTCTCTCCTGTGTCTGAGCACTCCTGCACAGCATGTTAGGATGAACAGAACCCCCTTCCATTGTAACCCAAGAACACCCTGTCAGCAAACACACATCCAACCTAAAGGAGTGAAATGACAGACTCTGTTTTAATGACTCAAACATGGGAGGAGAGTTTATTGTTCTAATTATATGTAATTTCTCAAAATTCTGGGCAGGCCTCAGCACATAAGCCACATGACTTTTTGTCCAAGGCCATGTCTACCCTGGAGTTGCTTTATGACAGCATCCACAGCCACCTTGACAGGTCGATGTCACTTCTGTGCCTGCCCAGTTGTCTGTTGATTAAAAAGACCAGCACATTTTTGGTGGGCTTCTTGCGTTTGAAGGATTTGTCTGATTTCTTGATGTTCAGTGCGGTCTCTCTGGGGCTGCCTTTCGGGAGTTCTTTATCCATGACTTGTTGACTCCACACAACCTCAGTAAAACAGCGCAACCGAGGAAGCCTGAAAAAGACGATGCATTCTAGGTAATCAAGTGGACCCGACAACCTCTTCCTCACTGGCACAAAACCACACACACACACACACACACACACACACACACTGCTACCAGCAGTAGTCACAGGAAGCACCAACCATATTGTTTCTTCAATCTGTCTTACACATGGGTTTGTGCATCAGCCTGATGGGACCCGGGACACTAAGGGCACACTGTTGCATCACTCTGATCATTACCTGTCACACACAGGCTTGTTAGATTGTACACAAAACACTACCTTATAGCTCAAGTGTCGTTGTAATTCTTATACCCACACTAATGTTAACTGGATTTTATGTTGCTTTTTTTCAGAGCTGTCTTCTTCTCACTTCTGAGTTTTCCCTGTACCTGGAATATGGGCTTCCTTCTGAACTACATTATTCATGTTGTACAGAGTAATTCTCTTTGGTAAATCTATCCATAACAGAGTTCAGTGCTTTACATTTGCAGTTCTTCATTCTACAACTTGCAGGCTGCTATAATTTGTTTCCTCATTCCAAATCTCTTTACGTGACTTTAGCTTCAAATAGGATTTGCCTCCTTTGAAAATCACTGGTGAAGCAGGTATGAATCTTACTCCAAACTCCTGTGTAGGAAATAAACTGGACATTCTCAAGTGCTACCTAGTTTCTGTTTCTAAGATCCATCCTGCTGATTTTCCATCCTGGGAACGTAATCACAGTGGCTTAAAGATTGTACTCACCTCTGATGCCTGGCCCTGACTCATCCGCCAAAACCCTGTTCTGCATTTCATTTGAATCTAGCACAGATTCAAAACAGTGTTCTCTATTTTGACCTCTCATGAGAGATTAAAAACCTTGCCCAAGTGACAGAGAGGTGAGATTGGAACTGAGAAAGCCTGTGTCTGAAGCCTCTGCTTTTACCCACTGCTCTATAGTGTCTCTGTATCAATTTGAACAAATGACTCTCTGATAAACTCTCCCCATTACCAAATAGGGTTGGGGTTTATCTGGTAGGTTAGTTAGTTAATGGCACAAAAGGATGCTCTATGATCTTGGTATATCAGGGTATTTTACCTGTGAGACCACTCAGGTTTCTTTTGAAGAAAAGATCTGGACCAGAGGGTGAACAGCAACAGCTTGGCACTCTCTCTCTTTCCTTGAGTCCCAGGGCCTGATTGGTTCAGTACCAAGTGAGGTCATAGTTACTATGGTGACTCACAATTGCCTTCAGAACCTAGTGCAGATTCAAACACTGGCCACCATCCCTGGTTTCCTTCTGGTTCACGCCTGAATAAGGTGAGTGGAAGTTGCTGGGTGAGGAGGTGAGTATATCCTGTGGCCGGGTGCCATATGCATGTCTCCTTCCTAGACAGAACTTGCCTCAACTATCCTGGCCTCAGAGCTTGTCCCTGGCTCGTATAAAATCCATTAAAATTTCTCCTTTGTGTAAATAAACAGCACCCATTGCGTCTTGCCTTGTGCCCTGGGTAGTGATCAGCAACTTTGTCCGCCATGTTCCAATCCAGGAACTAGTTCCAGGTCAAATTTCCTACTTGCTTCTCAATCTTGCATCCATCCTTGGTCATAACTCTGCAAGTACTCCTTCTATAATACGCACTATATATAAATGGAGTGTTTAGTTGCAGAAATTGAACACTTCAATTAAACATTGCTGTGTCTCCCACACTTATCTAAACCCTCTCAAAGCTCAGTGCAGTGGAGCTTCACACCTTTATTGTGTGGATCTGGGATGCAGGTGGGCTTTTAATGCTTTGGAAAATCTTATGCTAAAACTGGACCAGTTCCTTGAGACATATTCCCTTCCAAGTTTCTGATCTAGAATAACTACATTGTTACCATTACAGTGTGACCCACGTGGGTATTGTCTAGATGCAGGACATGGATTTTCCAGGCTGTCAGAGGGATAACCGTGAGGACAGCGCTTTGTGTTTTTTGTAGTGTGGTTCCCATGAGGAACTAAAATGACTATTATGAGATGTGGCTTGCCTCCTCACTGGCTGCCCAGTCAGTCTTATGTAAGAACTAAGGAAATTGATGTTACTGTAAAGTGACCCAGGTCACACACTCCCTTCCTTGAGTGGCAGGGAAGGAAGGCTCACTCCTCCAGGTTTTCTCCCAGCCCCCATAGAACCATGTAAAGACCCTGAGGCCATGTTCAGTGTTCTAAACAATTTGGAGAGGGAAGATAACTTATTGGTGTAGTTTATTAACAAAGAAAGTGGAAAACTCTTTCTTTTAAGGAGCTGACATCCTAGAAATCCAAGTCAATCACCTAGGAAATAGACCAGGAGAGGCTGATTGACAGAACTTAAATGCATAAAAACTTTGCATACTAGGTCAGGCACAGTGGCTCTCACCTATAATCCCAGCACTTTGGAAGGCTGAGGGGAGTGGATTGCATGAGCCCAGGAGTTCAAGACCTGCAGTTGGCCTTGGGTCATATCCAGCCTGCTCCAACTGTAAGACAAAAAGCCCCTAAGGCAGACGGTCATGGCGATTGCCATAAGCAGCCCTGTAGATGCAAAGATGAGATGTAGCTCTGCAGGGCCAGAGTCTAAATATGTAAGTCAATGTCAGAATCTTTTTGGCACTGACTGTTCCTTAAATAGGTCAATACTCACCGTTTATGAAAATTTTCATTGAACTGGAGCTACATTCCCTTTCTATAGATAGCACGTTTTTAATTTTTGTTTTTAAAGTGACCCAGGTCACACACACCCTTTCTTGAGTGGCAGGTAAGGCAGGCTCGGTCCTCCAGGTTTTCTCCTGGCCACATAGAACCATGTAAAGACCCTGAGGCCATATTCATTGTCTTGAACAATTTGGAGAGGGAAGATAACTTATTGGTGTATTTTATTAACAAAGAAAGTAGAAAGCTATCTTTCTCTTAAGGAACTTTGACATCCTAAAAATCCAAGGCAATCACCTAGAAAATAGGCCAGGAGAGGCTGATTGATAAAAGTTAAATGTATAAAAACTTTGCACACTAGGTCAGACACAGTGGCTCTTGCCTTTATAGGCACTTTGGAAGGCTGAGGGGAGTGGAGTGCTTGAGCCCAGGAGCTCAAGACCAGCCTGGGCTACATAAGGAGACCCCATCTCTACAATAAAAATAAACGAATACATAAATATATTAAAAATTTGCAGTCTTCCAATAAATAGGGAATATCATAGATTTAAGCTATCCTATTTACATTGGTTGCAAATATTATGAAATACCTGGAAAAATAATGAAATATAAGGAAAACACACATGCCACTTTTTATGAGCCTTCAGTTTGAATATACACATGATATTTTAAAATACTACATTTTTCTTAAGAGGAAGATCAATTTTTGCAATGGCATCAATTCGCCTCTAATAAAATCAATATATCCAGTACAATCCTAATCATAGCTTGCAGCAGAATTTTGAGTATGTGTGTGTAACTGGAAGATCAGATGAAATTATATTGCCAAAAAATGTGAAGGATTATGCAACAGGGGTAGCTTGTCATTCTGGACTCAAAACTTACTCTGTAATATTAGTGAATGAAGCAGGAATTGATAGACATGTCCATGGACCAAAAAAGAGATTCTAGAAATATACTCATGCATATGTGGAACTCAAAGAAATTATATACCTGGCATTTAAAAATCACAAGTTGCCACAAAGCTGACTTTTATGATCGTGTGGGTTAGAGAGGAGAAGTGCAGAGAGGCTTTGGGGGCTACTTGATGCTTCTCCTTCAGGTAATTCTAGATTCCATCAACTTTCACAGGTCTCTCTTCTGTGCTGTCTTCCTGAAGCCATCTGTGGAGTCAAGCAGTCATGGCTCAGGCACACTCTGAAGTCGGTCCCAGCACATCTGCACGGAGCATCAGGAGAAAGGCGGACGAATACTTGAGACCCAGCCTGGCCTCTAAATCTGTGCTGAGCGTTTTACTCAGTAGACAGCTTGGGAATCATAGAAACGATGTGGATCTGACAGAGTGGCTGTGGACACTGACACAAACCACACCAGGGTGGACCTGGCCTTTGCCAACACGCCATACAATCAACCCACCTTTGCACCCTGGGGAGGATAGAAAATCCAAGAAAATGGTGTGGATCAATAAATCCTTCCCCTGATGCAACCATTACAAATGGAAGCTGTGTTCTCACTGCTTTTGGTTGTACATGGTCTTTGATCACCTAGTTTCTTGACTTCTGACCAGTCTCTGTGTTACCCGAGGCCACAGCAGATGAACTTTACCTACTCCCCCCTGAGAAGGTGTTTACTAACGTTGTAGAGTCTGGGGGTGTTGGAGCCACGAGGGGCCCTCTTTCGAGAAGGTGGAAGGGCAGCTGAGTGGACACGTGGAGAGGCCCTGCAACCCTAAATTTCTAGGGGGAGGGGCCTTTAAGGAGCCCTCTTAGAGGTCTTGATTTGTCTCCCTTGAAGTTTGGGGGAGAGCGTGAGTAAAAATTGAAATCAAATAAATTTAAAATGAGAGTGGCTTGCAGAGTGGGGAGAGAATTCTCGCAAGAGACATACTTCTTAAATTGAGAAAAAAAGAAAGGGAGCTAAAGAGGTAATCAGAAATGCTCAGGAAATAAAGAATGGTCTTTCAAGTGTTGATGCAAAATAACTTTGAACCTACAATTCTACTTCTAGCCAGACATTCAAGTGTGAGGATAAATTAGCATACAAGGTGTTCAAGTGTGTGTTCCCTGGAAATAGACCCTGAGGCACACTTGTGAGTAGAAAGCACTAACTTTGGAGAGAGTCCCAGACAGCACAGGTAAGGGTGTGGGGAGGTGAGACATACAAGGAATGCAGCCAATTTAAATGGGAGGAATAAGCTAGCAGGTTTCCACTGTGGGCAATTGGAGCTAATTCCCAGGGGGGCCCTATGGGAGACTTTGTAGAACACACATCTCACATTCATCCCAAGTGCAGGATGAGATGGCTTGGGGGTATTTAGCCACCAAAGTCGCAATCATACTTATTAAAGTACTTCCCCATGGGAGATATAAATCCCTGTCACCTTCAGTTGGCCTTGGGTCATATCCAGCATGCTCTAAGGGTGAGACAAAAAGCCCCCAAGGCAAAGAGTCATGGCGATTGCCATAAGCAGCCCTATAGATGGAAAGGTGAGACCTAGCTCTGCAGGACCAGTGTCTAAATACATAAGTCAGTGTCAGAATCTTTTTGGCACTGTCTGTTGCTTAAATAGGTCAATACTCACCATTTGTGAAAGTTTTCATTGAACTGGAGCTACATTTCCTCTCTATAGATAGCATGTTTTAAATGTTTTGTCAATTATCAATTTTAATTGGAAACTGATTGCAGGACCTCTGTCCCAGAGAGTTGTGAGATACGTGTTTAGCCATCGAACGAGCATTGTAGACATCAAAATATTCTCCCTGGGGAAAAGAAAGCAGGATTTTTGTAGTGTGTCCTGCCTGCAGATGTGCCATGCTGGATGTTAGGCACAGGTCTCTCCCTGGGATTTCATGGAGATCTTGGGCTGGCTGCTTTATCAGAAACTCTATTCTTGCAATTCAGCCTAGGGGAATCCAAGCTGCAGTGTCTCACCTCTTGCTGAGGGGTTCCTCAGCATGTGGAATTCAAAGAACCTCCTTATCTCCAGGTCTCCCATAGTAGCTGGAACTTTATTCATGTCCCTATCATTACTTTCTCTATGGAACGGGATGAGTTGCTGGTTAGCTTGCTCCCACCCACCTATGCCCATCCAGGCCCACGCTCAGCACACCATCCCCATACTGGGTGCCCCTATCCCCAGAGATTCTTGGAAATGCTGTTCTGGGTGGTGACTCCATTTCAGCAATGGCAGCAAGAGATGGCCTTCTCAAGCTTGTGTTGGGAGTCTAGTAATGAATCCTTTTTGTCACAGTTCAGATGGAACTCGCAATGCCCAGCTCCACTGGTGTTGCTTTTCACCTTTCTTCTGTCTCCAATACTCTTCCCTTCCTTTGCAAGCCTCTCAATATTTCACCATTTTGTTCCCGTGTCACTGCACACAGTTATGCATACTGGTGTGTGTGTGTGTGTCTGGGTAGAAGCCTCTGGAAGAGCCCAGTGGTTGAGTTGGGACAGTTATGGGAGC